GTATAATACATCATAAGCACAATTACTATTAATTATTAAACATGTAAATGTTTTTTAATTATTAAGCATAATTATATATGAAAATGTTGATTTATTTCCAAAGATGGATAACAATCGACCAGTCGTTAATCAAGATTCCAACACTAATTGATGATTCACAATGTATGTGCGCTTGCACGGGAAAATGGATGGTCAAATTTCCCCTATTTTTAAGAATAGTATTGATATTGATTTTCAGCAAATCGCTTTTATTAATAAGCATTTTGTTCTATTTATAACAAATAAATTTATTTAATATATAATGAATAACAAATAAATTTATTTAATATATAAAGAATGTAATCTAATTTAAAAAAAATTATCGACTACTAATCTTACACTTGATAAAAAGTACGGAGTATTCATTAAAATATCAATGAGACAATTTAAATTATGAATATAATTAAATATGTTTTTTATCTCTATAAAACTTGTAAATAGAATAAAAGGGAAAGAAAAGAATTTTTTTGTTTGTTTCTCTTTTTAGTATACTTATGTATAATAATAGTGTTTACCGTGGAATTTTTTACATACACATAGAGAGGAATGTTTAATAATCAAACAAAATATAATATTGAATTATAAAGAAAACCATTTATATTTTATGAAATGAAAATAATAATTTATTTATTTATGAAAAGAATAATGTTTATAAAATAAAAAGTTTTTTAAAAAATACTTTCAATAAGAAAATATAATTTTGATATTGATATAACTATATTCTAAAATGATGAATCATTTATCCTTTATATATAAAATACAAACTCTAATTTTTGCAAACACAACATTTGGCATATTTGGGTGGCATTGTTTCTGTTACCTAAGATCACACCTAATTTATGACTTAGATAAAGAAAATAATTTTCATTTTTAAAATAAATATTCCATATTATTATAAGGAAACATAATAGAGAATTGAAAACCTTTAGTTGAAGAGTAATTATTTTAAGTGCACAATAACAAAGTATAATTTTGATATTCATATATTTATGTTTTTAAATAATTTTTACAAGGATGACAAATTATTACATGGTCCATGGTGAATATTCATATATCCTAAATAAACATTTTTTGAGTGTTGAAATAAGTATTTTTAAAATAAAAAATTATGTGAGAAGTCCATGTGAGTCTTAAGTTCATCATACAACATCTCTACAAGGACACATTTTTTAAAATACAATTCTAGTAGAATGATGCTTACATGATCTCAAGGTCTACATTTAAAATGTGGGCCTTCTCACATTTTTGATGAGCTTGCATGTCGATATTTTCGTTTTTACAATAGACCAACTTTTTTAACCCTATCAATCCGCCACGGGCAATTTGCCATCACGAATTGCGCATGGCTCCTTCGCGTGAACGAGGTTAACTTCTATTCTTCCCTGTTTATCTTCAATTCTTCTATGTATCCTCCAATTCCTTTATCTTCCAAACTTCCAGAAGCTTGAACTTTTGTTTAATCATGTTAAATACTGAAATGGGTAGGGACTAGGGAGTACCAGATTAATGTGAGTTTTTGGGTGAATGTCGGTTTTGGAAACCGACCGTAACCTATCTATTACATCGGTTTTTGGTTGTTTCAGTTCTATCCAAAGTCGGTCGGTTTTCTTTCGCCTAAAAACAATTTTGCTTGTTCGGGTTTTCAACTTAAACGAACCGAACCAATCCCATGCTTTCTCGCAATGACCTTGAATTATTATTAATCATTGTCTTTTATATTACTTTGAGTATTTTAGAATCTTAATTTATTAAAAACTTTCTAGACAATACATATAATGTGTAATGATATAAAAACACATTGTTTTTGAAACCAATTGCAAATATATTATCAACAAGACAAAAATTTACACCCTAAGTTTAGCTAGCACCACTGCTACAAAGTCTAAAATCGCAGGCTATAGAATATATCTACCACACTTTGGTAATGTATAAATGTGATACTTGATATATTCTACACTGTCAGTTGCTTCCATGCTTCCATACGTTTCCCTTCAAGAACAATGTTATTCCTTCATGTAACATAAAAGCAAGTAACAGTAATGGCTGCCTTCAATTTTCTCTCCTTCATATTGATACTCGTCAAGACTTTGTTTTCCACCTCCTTTATAGATTGAGCTGTGGTATCTAAGTTAGCCAGTCTGATATTTCTCTCATGATCCTAGAGGCATAATTACAGGTACAAAAAAGATGGTCCAGTAGCTCTTCATTCACTCCACATAAGCTGCAAGTAGTATCTGATTGTAAGAACTTACTCACACTACATTTTGTTTGGATTGTGGCCTTCCAATTTCCAAATCAACCAAGCAATCGCCTGATGCTTAGGGAGGGACCCTTTATTCCACACCACCGGTGTCCATCTCTCCTTAGCTCTATCCCCTATTAATTAAGCATAGCCATCACTAGTATTATATTCCCAATTTATAGGCATATTGGTAAATCATCTCTTATTTTCAGCATTTTTTCTAATAGTAGCATGTGTCACCTTTATTTTGTATTGCCAAATCCCTTATTCTTGCTTAAGATACCTACCATGAATTTATTTAACCCATTGGATATCTTTTCTGCTGGCAATGTCCCATAACAGTTTCATGGAGCTAGCTTTATTCTATAGGACGAGGTTCTTCAACCCTTGCCCTCCTTTACTCTTGGGAAGGAAAACTTCATCCCAACACACCAGGGGACATCTTTTAGGATAAAGATGCACCCAAAGGAAATTTCTACATATATCTTAGATTTTTTCCATCATCTTATTATGAACAAGAAAGAGTCTAGTCTAAAAGAACACAACACCATGGAGTACATAATCGACAAGTCTAGCTCTTCGTGCATAAGATACATGACATTCTCCAGTAGGATATCACATTCTCTTTGGCTAATCCTAACTGCAGTTATGAGCCCTCCAAGCGACTTGAAGGGGAACTCACCCCTAAGCATATTAGTGCGCTCAAAGATGCCATTTTCTTTTTCTTCATTGACTCCTCTACCTACAATATGTGATTTATTATGCTTAATATGTAGTCCAATAGTCAAAGTGAAATGCTCCAAAGCTTTGCAAATACAATCAATAGACCTCGCATCAGCTCCGCTCACCACAACTAGGTCATCATAAAAAATCAGATTAATAAGCCGAAATGACTTGCACATTGGATGATATATAAAATTACCATTACGAGCATAATGGTGCAAGACTCTAGTTAGATACTCCATGATAATCACAAACAGCAGTAGTGATATAGGATCTCATTGCCTTAGCCCCTTTCCTCCCTTGACGCAACCAAACACTTCTCCATTCAGCTGTATAGTGGAAGCGGTATTGGTTACACTTACACAATNGGGGGGAAGACTTCATAGCCTCCATCATCTGAATTAGGGCTTTCTAAGTCACAGAATCATATGCTTTTTATATCCAGCTTCATCATACATCTGGCGGTAATTTCTTTCCTTTGATAACCTCTTGCTAATTCTTGGCACATTAGCACATTATGGACCAATTTCCTTCCTTCTATGAATGGCCCTTGGTTAGTATAATTTACAGTGTGCAATACTTTCCTAAATCTGCTACATATGATTTTAGAAATAATCTTGTAAATCACATATCATGATGAGATAGGTCTGTAGTCCTGTAGTCCATAAGGGAGATAGGGCATTCAGTCTTCGGGGTAACAGTAATAGTTGTAGTGTTTACCTCCTTTAGCGTATCACATGTTTGAAAAAATTCCAGTATTGTCTCGGTAACCAACACCCCCACTGTTTCCCACTGAAGCTTGTAGAAGACACTACTGAATCCATCTGGGCCTGAATTTTTACAATTTGGAATTTAAAAAACATACTTCTTATCCAAATCTGGGCTAATAGGGGCAATCAAGGAGATTTGTTTCTCAACGGTAAGAACTTTCCCTTTAGTGATGATATCTCCATGGATACAGTCAGTCCATTGGGTGGTCCCTAGCATATGTTGGAAATACGGCAGGAGTCTTAGCCACGACATCTTTTCCTTGCACAAGATGTCCCTCTTTATTTCAAATGGTAGTGATGTATTTTGGAGATGCTTCTTCTTTACCCATGCGTAAAACAACCTGGAGTTCTGATCTCCTTCCATAATCCACTCTTGCTGGCATTTCATTAAATACCATGCTCTTAAGTTCTAGTTCAATTCATTAAACATCTCCCTTTCTTTAGCAATAAGGGCTTCACTAGCATGGTCCTTCTTAATTGTATCCTGGATACTGAATAGTTCATTCCTGAGGATAGCACATTTCTGATGGATATTACTGAACTTATCCTTGTTCATCTTCTTAAGTCTGCCCTTGACTTCTTTAAGTTCTTGGAGTAGTTTATACGTAGCTCTACCCTGGCTCTCTTTATTCCGCACATTGTTACGACATAATTTTTGTGATATATTTATCTCTTATTTGATAAAATAAAATACTATGGATTCACATTGTTACGGTATTGTACCTTATCATTTCGAAATTATAAATGATACCAATTAATTTTAGTGGTAAAATCGATCCATCTTAATAATAATGGTAAACTATGAATTAAAATTTTGAACTATCACGCACCACGCCCAAATGCTAATCTAAGGCTATGTGTTATGGGGTGTGAGGAGGGACTTGACCACCCTCACTTATGCCCCTCTATCCATTACATGCTTAAGGTGAAGGGGCTTTGCCCCAACTCATTGATAGCGATCACTCCGTGATGGGCTCTTCTCCCTTCCATTATTTTTTTAATATTTCAACCAATCAAAGTTTAGCACATATTCACATTTTATCACTTTCCTTCACATCCACCAACACACAAATTTTTATCACTCTACATCATACTCTTTTACATATCACCAAGCCCCGTCAAGCCATCTATAACACATGGTTTAACGAATAGGAGGATTGTTTTCTGGAATAAGAATCCGTACAAAACAACTATGTGGAGACGCTAACCGCACCCTTCCTGCACAGGGCCAGCACTCTCAGGACTCAGGACACACGACACAGCCCGCAGGTGCATTCTGCCGCCAGCCGCCTGTCGTCCAACGCCAACACCGAATTCCTAACAACGCTGGTCCATTGCTCCACGCCTCGGGCTGCTCGCTGGAAGGTAATCTTCCATTCCCCCATCTCAATTTTTTTTCTTTCCTTGTATTTTGTTTTATCAAGCTAAATACTCTGTATTTTTTTAGTTATTTTAGACAATTATCAATTATGATTTGGGATTTCTGGGGTTTTGTAATATGAATTTGTGATTAGGTTAATTTCCCTTTGATTTTATAGCCGATTCGCTTCTTGATTTATCAGGGAAAAGAAATTGAAGTTTAGGCTATAACAACTTAACGACAGCATAAGATTTCTGTATTTTGGTTGCTTGGTAACTTTAATAGGCTTCTTTCTTTTCATCTTACTTGGGTGGGTAATGTATACTCAAAACAGTTCTTCAGTTATAGTAAGTTCATTTGAAAGAAATCAAAGAATCATGTTTTCCTAAAGAGCATGTAAATTGACAGTTCGGATACAATACACTTGCTATTGTTCACCTTTAGAAATACTGTGTATTTGTTGGCTTTATAGAATATTATAATTTTGTGTGCGTATACCTGCAAGGTACTTGTATTTGTTCTTTTTTTTGGGTGAAATGTAAATAATGATATGCATTACTAGCCCAAAGGCAGTTTAATTTACGAATACAAAGTTTCGGGGCATACCCCTATTAATCAAAGGCAAGTCACGCCCAAGAACAAACCAAATACATAAAAGAAGCACAAAGTAAAGCTAAGAAGCTCTCCTCTCATCGGTCTTTGACTTGTTTCTGGATGCTTTCCTCATGGATTTAGCATATTACTGGGCAATAGTGAGTTCCATCCTCTTGTTCAAGACACTATCTGCCCAAACTTGGGGATGTGAAGCTTCCTTTTTGCCTGTTTGTAGTGGCTCAGGTTCGACTTGAGGTCAATTGTGACTGGTTGCACTATTAGTAGTTTAGTACCCTCTGATGAAGTGCCATCGTTACCCACAATGTCTAAACCACCATTATCCTCAGCACGCTGCTGCTCCTGTGAAGGCTGGGCATCCTGGGTCAACACGACTTCAGTGTCAAAGGCCTCTGGGTTGCACTCCTGGTGACATTTATGTCTAGCCCAGCGGCTGGCCCTTCTAGAAGACCTCCTGCCATCTGCCCATCCCTTCATACTAGCATTGGCCTCGGTCTTAGCCTCCTCTTTGACCAGGCTCTCTTTCGACTTGGGCTTCAGCTCGGATTTGTCATGACAACCATGGTTGGCTTTCTTTGTTCGAATAGCACGTATGACTCTACAATCCAAAGGGCTGTTCCCAAACTTCTTGCAATGATAGCAGTAATGTGGAAGGCCGTCATACACAACCTTTTGGGTATAGCTATCTCCCCGGCGCAGGTTAACTTTGAATGAGGTAGGGAGCTTTGACATGTCTACTTGAATAAGCATACAACGAAAACTAACCCTACTCCTTTCCTTTGTCTATTGGTCGTACACACTGGGGTTCCCACCCTTGACCCCAAACATTTGAGTGCCACATGGTTCCAAAGTTGTAAAGGGACATCAATGAGTTTAACCCAAACATCAACCGTCAAAAGGCATTAAAATCAAAGCAAAAACCCTCCGGAAGGATACGAAGAATAAGAGTCTTACCATAGAGTGTTTAAGGCCCCTTGTTCAAGACTTGCCTTCGATCTTCACAAACAAGCTGGAAAATCACCCAGCTGTGCTCATGTGGAAGGAGCTTGCACTGAACTTGCCATGAAGAGATGAGCCCTTTAATGGCTTTGATGCTTGGACCAACGAGGCAAAAGCTCCAATCAGCCTCAAGAGGAGATATGCCCTCTGCTGGAATAGAAACCTCATCTCCAATGCTGACTTTGCTCAAAGGAATCCCTTCTGACAAGCCTCTGTTCATCCTTGAAGGCCTAGCAAACTCGTCGCTGTTCATCCTAGAGACTGCGGTGGAGGACGGCTTGGATTTGGCTTGCTGCTTTGGTTCAGGCATTTTGTCAACGTCTTTGCTTCGCTGTTTGCACTAGTGTAGGAACAGCCATTGAAAAAAGTTGCATTTTGTCTTTACACTAGTAAGTGGGCGGAAAATTCACCGGAAGGATGCGATGTGGTAAGCAATTTGATAGTTGTGAACCAAATATGGGAAACGTGAAAGGCGGGGACCACACATGGAAATGGGAAAATACTTGCACAACCAAAATGTGATTTTTCTTTCTTTTTAAAATATCTCTCTACCCTTCACATGTAGAGTTAAGGTTGAGCACTAGAGCCTACCCTTCTCAGACCCCACTTGTGGGATTACACTAGGGTTTTCATTGTTCTAACTCACTTTTATATGCACAAGGATCCTGGGATGAAAACAAAAGCGGATCCTAGATGGAAAGTTGTTGGGGGCATATTTGATAAAGGGAATTAAGAACAGTATGGGGTAGTGGCCTCTAATTTTTTAAGCCAATGTGAAATGACAAAAAAACCTAAAAAGTTTCATTTCAAACATGCATTCAAATAATTAAACTGGAAAAGTCATAAAATAGAAAAATATGGAGTACATCATTACTTAGTTTAACTATCATTTTTTCAAAATATTTCACTTTCAGATCTATTCAAACAATTATTTGGTCAGGACTAATGATTAATGAGCTAAGTGTTTTGAACAATTGTAGTTTTCAGTGACGGATGAGTTGGACTTTACTTAGTTATTGGACTGGGGGCACCCTTTTTTTCATTGGGGGCACTCTCTTTTTTATTTGGGGCACTCTTTTTTTCATTGGGGGCACTCTTTTTTTTCCATTGGGGGCAATCTTTTTTAAATAAGGCCACCTTTTTTTATTAGGGGCACTCTTTTAATTTACTAATTTTTCATTTGTTAACACTAATTTTATTTAGTTGGGGGCACTGCCCCTTCTCCATACAGGTAGAACTCCCCTGAATGAAACAGATTTCGCGTTGTAACGCAGTTCATTGATTTCAATCTAGTTTGCAGATAAAGATGAAAAAGTCAGGATATGGATTGCAGCTTAGAGTTCCACCTTCACAGCAGAAGAAACAGCCAACAAGACCTCCCCTCCCCACTGTACTTGGTTTTGGTGATGGCGATGATGATGATGTTGAGAAAGAAATCTCCCGCCAAGCCTCCAAGAACAAGGCTATGAAAGATGTGCGTCTATAATAGCATGATTAGTTATTTCTTCCAAAACTTTTTTTCCTTTACCACATTGTCTTAAGAATGTTATTCTGTCTATTAAACTGGAAGGTTGAGGAGCAGCACAAGAAGGCTCTAGAAGAGGATCCATCGGTATTTGATTACGATGGGGTGTATGACAGCATGAAAATGAAGGCTGTTCAACCTCAAGTTCTGGATCGTGAGGAGAGAAAGGTAATTTTAGCATTGCAACTTGCAATAGTAATTGTTATTCTCAAGGTAACTGGACCATGGTTATCAATGGCGCAAATGGAAATTCCCATTTCGTAATTTTGCGCCATTGGCAATTTTGGGGAGTGTCGCCACTCGCCACAAGAGTCGCAGCCACTTCTGATCTCTCTCTTTTTATTTGCAACTCGGATAAGTTTATCCGATGAACCTTTTCTTCTTCCTCATCTTCATTTTATTTCGGTTTTTTTATCCTTAAAAAATATCATAAAGATTTGATTATATTCATACTGTTAATTTGATTACTCATGTTGTTAATCTCATGCTGTCAGTCTGTCACAGTGTATTCGTACAATTTGACATTTTTCATTGAAACAGGATGAGCTTTGATCATTAACTAAATAAAAATTACATTGCATATAATACAAGGAACTAATCTTTTGAAAAGTATTTTGCTGGATAAATACAACGAGTTCATTTTTTTTTATTAATATGCAATGACATTTTTGTTCAATTAATGATCGACATTATTCCAATTTGACTACAACATGTCAATTCAACCAAATGAATATGTAGTGGAGTATTTAATTACTGATTATTGTTTCTACTAAGTTATTACTTATTATTTTGTATTTTGTACTAAAATAAATTAATAAGCACTCCCTCCATCTTAGTATATTCGTCCCGTTTGACTTTTTCGAGTTAAGTGGGATGAACTCTAATCATCAATTACACTAAATTTGTATTTCTTATTTATACAACAAAATAAATTTTTGAAATTCTCTTCAAGATAAATTGTAATGAAATAATATTTATTCTAGTATGCCATGAAAGTTTTATTTAATTAAAGAGCTAAGTTCGTCTTGACTCGAAAAAGTCAAACGAGACAAATACACGTGTCGGAGGTAGTATATAACTTACTAATTACTACAGTTAGTACAACATACTCTGTATTGTTTATAATAGTACTTGAAAACCTGTTTGGCTGTATTTTTTGGGTTACCATCAGGTTCTTTAACTCAAGTACTGAACTACTGCATTATTGGTGATTGAATTAGAGATCTATATATCTAGTTCTAGTTATTCAATCCATTGCAGCCAAAATATATCCGCCAACTGATGGAGAAAGCCAAGCAACGAGAACGTGAACATGAGATTGTGTATGAGAAGAAACTTGCCAAAGAAAGAAGCAAAGATGACCACCTTTTTGCAGACAAAGAGAAATTTCTCACGAGTGCGTACAAGAAGAAACTTTTAGAGCACCAAAAATGGGAGCACGAAGAGCATCTTCGCGAGCTACGAGAGGCAAAGGACGATGTAAGTGGAATTCTTGTTTTATTTTTCTCATTTACTAGTAGTATAATAAATTAATAATACACATGTAACCGTTAACTGTCATATTCTCTGTTTTTCAGAGCATTAAGATCAGACTGGAAACATGCAGTTTCACACATGCAAAGCTTCCATTTAAGTTGCATTAGGATTTATGGCAATTTGTTGTTATTACCTTTTGTTATTTATTAATCAAACACCTTATTGGCTTATCACACACCCTTTTGGCCTTTTCCATTTTTCCTTTGACAGGTAACTAAGAAGGCAGACATAAGTGACTTTTACTTCAACCTTGCAAGGAATGTTGCTTTTGGGGGAGGGGAATCAAAAGCAAACAAGCCCGATCAGCCAAATGAAGAGGTGACAAATCAACCACAAAAAGAGATTCCGATTCCACACACGCCTAGAGAGATGAAGATTCAACAGGCTGAGAGCTCTCAACCGGCAGACACAAAGCCTACTACTTCTAATGCATCATCATTAGAAGATAAGGCCATAAATGGGCCAGAAGTTGACGCTGCTGGCCCATTAGTAGGTAGCGATCAAGAAAAACTTGCGGCCCATCATCATAAAAGAAGTAGCGATGCTCTGGCTGCAGCTAAGGAACGGTTTTTGGCGCGAAAGAAGGCCAAGGAAGAAAGGTTTGATTAAGGTACGGAGTACATAATACTTTTCCCGAACCTTTGCACTACATTCATTTTTTCTTGTTTGAAAATCTTGAAATTAATTGATAATGTGACTTGTTGTGCGATACATTTGTTTGATTATGCATCACCATATGTGCTGTTGATAGGAACTGCCATTTCTGCATCCTCATTGCTTGATCGAATTTCCATCCTCTTTTCTTTAACTCTTCTTTTACTTATTGAATTATGAGGATGGTTTTTGTTTGGAGGCAAAAAAGTTTTTTTGTTCCAATTTTAAAAAAAACACAAGATGGGATTCGATCCAGCTTCTTGAAAATTGCCCACTTATTTGTGAACATGAGAGGAATATTTCGATGAAGAAACAATCCATCGAGTAACCTAATGTTCTAAATGTCATGCACTCAAGATCGGAGTCGTGTGCTCCAACATCTTATCTTCCAAGATCTTCAACATTGGTGTACTCAAACGTACAACATTTTCGAAGTGGTGAGATGAAAACAAATCACACATTGCCAATGCCTAAAGTCTTGCCCTTTGAACTTCTCCAAATTTGAGAACTTGTTCGTCGTCTCTCACGGATTCGCCCCTTGTAATCTTCATGTTGTTGGGAAATTATAATTTTATTCCTTGTTGGTAAATGGGGATGAAAGGCAACGTTGCGTAGCAGCATTTGAATGAAATGGTATACGAAAGATGTAAGGAAGACTTGATAGACTTTCACGAATTACATAATCACTTTTAGATTATAGTTATTTCAGAGTATATAAAAAAAGTTCAATTGAAAAACGTGTGATTATCTAAAACAAGTATGAAAATTCTGTATCTCTCAAAAATTGGTCAAAGTGTGCGTGTGTGTGCGTGTGTTGTATGTATATACGAGTATATGTAATGTTTCATTTAAAACAATTAACTTTACCAAATATTTTAAGTTCACAAGAATACTCTTAGAAATTTGACAATTTTACATCAATACTACCAATTAAGCTAAATATGTGAAATTTTAAATTGAACATTGCATTTATTAAGTATGAGTTTACAACTACTAAAATATAAAGACATACTACTTGTTTAAAAAAAAAAGACATACTACTGTTTTGACCTTTATTTCAAAAAAAAATGATAAAGGAAAATAAAAATAAACTGATAGAAGTTGATAAGATATACCAGCGTGATTTTTATGACATTCTTATCATTTATTTTTCAAATAATTGTTTAACCACTTCGGTTTTAGTTTTCACTCTTTTTTTTACTTTTAAAATGATCATAACTTGAGATCTATAGCTCACATTCTTTCACAATATAAAATTATCATAACTCGAGATCTATAGCTCACATTCTTTCACAATATATATCATTGGGTTTAGACCGGTGCAAACAAGGGATGGCCCGTCCGGCCCGTCCAGCCCGTCCTTTAAAAAAGATGGATATAGGCATTCTTTAATACCCATACAGGTGGGCCGGCATGAGCCTGAATTGTATCTGGGCGGATATGGAATCTACATTTAGCCTGTCCGGGCCAGCAAGCCCGCCCACATTTATCAATTATATTTACTATATGAATTACCTAGTCCATCTACAATGACAAGTTCTCACTCATCTCTCTCAACAAAAAATAGCCCAAATTATCTAGCCCATGTTTAATGAATTTAGTCCAAGTTAATTAACCATAAAATCATAAATGACTAAATAGTAAATAATAAAGAAAATAAAGGCATGGACTTGTGAGTTGCTGGAAGCCGCCATATGCATCTGGATTTGGGATTTTGGGAGCCACTGCATCAAGAAGTTGAACAGGCTTCCACTGCATCACATTCAGCTTGAAGAGACGAAGAGCAAGAAGACTCGCTCAAAATTTGGAAGAGACTTTTGGTGACTTCATCTTAAACATTGATTTCTTTTTTTAATATTCTTTTTCGGGCCGGGCGGCCCGATGGACACTTCGGCCCGCTAAGGTGGGCGGGTATGGGTAAAGAGTTTAGCCCATTAGATCCGGGCCGGGTCAGGCCCGCCCATGTATATGGGCTAATAATTTGTATTAAGCTCGGCCCAGATCCGACCCGGATCCTTGTTTGCACAGGTCTAATTGAGTTTCCTGTTTGAGACATATTCAACGATTATAATTTTGATTATAAAATAATAAATTTAAAATTCTCTATTTTTTTGTTTAAAACCCTAATCACAATTTATCTGATTAAAATATAAATATATTTTAAATTTTCTGTTTTACCACATTTTACATTTCATTTTTAAAACAGGGGTGGGGTGGGGTTCAAGTTATAACACATTTAAGATACTTTATTTTTATAAGATGTCAACTTAAATTTAATAATTACCCAGTAAACATCTAAAATGTCACATATTTAGCTTAGCTAGCGCGCAACTTGAAGTAACAATATAAAAATAAGTGATTTTTAGGAGCAGTGGCGACAATTCTTGAATTAGATAACTAACATAAAATCATTCATTCCTTGAAGTATTAATATGATTTTTTCTATTTTTAATAATCACTCACAATCTATTTAGATTACAGATTAGATTATAGATTGTGACTTCAGAAGTATAAATTAAACTATAAAAATACTAGTCACCAAAACTCGAAATAACTACTTTCTGCTTTTGATTTAATACATCTCTGTTTTCAAGAACCTAGCCACAAACACCCTCTAAGTCTCCATTGCTCTCCATCTAAACGCACCTAGGGTCTCTCTCTACTCTGGTCATAAAACCGACAGCAAGAACAAAAAGACCAAAACACATTTTTGATGCGCACCTATTTGATCAAGGGCAATCATGGAGCACCCCATATGTACACCAAGCCAACACAGACACAAAATGTCTGTGCAACACAGACATTTTGTATCTGTATGTGTCTGTGTTGGCTAGGTGTACATATGGGGTACCCCATGTTGGTATACCCCTAAGTTAATTCTTTGATCAATGATCATAATAGACACGGACCTGCGGCTTGGAACATAATACAAGCCATCTCAAAAGGAGAATCCTCCGGTTCAGCTCTGCACAAACTACCCGGTACGGACAAGACCGGATCATGAACCGGATCCACGGCAGCCTTCTCCGACTGAAGACTGAAACCGTCCCGAACTTGGACCCGGTTTCTAACCAGTGGGATGGGTGTGATCGAATCGGCCGGCAGAGGCGGCGGTGCGTTTCCACTGAGAGCGGCACTGACCGCCGGCTCGGCATTGGATAAGAGCCACGCTATGGTCTGACCGGCTGAGCGGTGGCCGAGCATCTTCATGAGATCAAAAATTCGGTCGGCGCATTCAACCGCCGGTTTTGACCGTTTACCTTTATGTGCCGGTCCAAAGATTTTCCAGCTTTTACATTACAAGTATTATTCTTTGAGACACTAATAACATGCGTTTTACATCAACAAACATTCATAAACAAAACTTAAAAAAGAAAGTTCGTCTCCTACTTTCGGAGTTCTCGACGGTCGGCTAGGGTTTTCTCTTCTCTTGCTTCAATCTACTTTCAATCTACTGATTCTCTGGTGTTTTTAAATGGATCCGACCAATATTGATAATGGTATAGCAGCGATTTCTCTGGACAACGAGGATGAAGATGGTTTGGTCTTTGGCGATGAAATTGGGGACTCATCAATTCAGCAGCCGGCTTACGATTTCTGCCTCGTGGGCCGGTTCCTTACAGAGCGTCCGGTCAATTTTGTGGCGATGAAGAATACGATGGCTTCTCTGTGGCGTCCGGAGGAAGGAATGGTGGTGAAGGAAGTGGGCGCAGGTTTGTATATCTTCCAATTTGGTGCATTGGCAGAGATGGAGCGGGTAATGGAGATGTGTCCGTGGTCTTTCAATAACCAAGCGCTACTCCTAGAACGACTGGGTAGATCTAAAGATCCCTCCGAGGTGTCGCTGCATCATCTCTATGTGTGGGTGCGAGTCTATGGGTTAAAAC